AACTATATATTCTCCTAGAAATTACTATTCAATCACACATTTTTCAATAAAATAATATTACACGTAAATCTTAAACTTTTCCTCTTTTCAACCATTTATTTTCCAAAAAAACACTATTCCAAAAATTAAAATGTCACATAGTAGGGTCAAAATGGTAATAAAATCCTTATTTCCAACAGAACCGACACCACTAAGCACTATTGTCCGGAAAACAAACACCACTTGTTCCTTCCACCTCGCCATAATTTCCTATTTCCATTTGAACGGGGAATGGTGGATTTGATTTTGAATCTGATAACACATTTGAATCTTGGATAAATCAGAGAGCTTGATCCAACTAAGACTATTGCATTTTGATAATTGAAATTGTTTTTGCTAGTTGTGGTAGGTGTGGTGATGGAAATAGACGACAAGTGGTAGCAATGGTGGTTTCTTCGAAATTTGTGTGCCTTCTTTGAGTAGCAAGCATAAATCTTTATGGTTGTTGTGCCAGAACATATCTAGTGAAAGGATTGTTTAGTAATGAACAAATGAAGATGAAGTTAAAAAGTTTAAATCTCATGAGCATAATTAAACTTTATGGAAATAGAAAACAAAAAGGAAAAAGTAATTAAAATGAAGGGGGAAAATGATCCCAGGATAGTGATTGCACTTTCTCCTTAAAACAAAATTACCCCCACAATGATGTTAATGGTTCATGGCATTTGTCTCCCAAGATACAACTAATTTAACTTGTGATAGAAGCACTTCAAACCACAGGCAACTGCAAACTCGAATGGAATGTATCCTCTCTACAAGAAAAAAGATATGGAATGCTTTATGGAGAGTTTTTGCTAGAGATTTGATGCAATGCTCAATGTAAAAGTGATATGGGATGCATTATGGACTTCAAAAATGTCCTATTTTTAAAGAATGAGGGGTTGTGGATGAAGTGATGCGTACCAAACCTCGCAGCTTTATGAAGGAAAGCATCACTTGCTATGGCTTGCCTATCGCTCAAGTGCTAGTGTCAAAATTTTTCGCTTGCCTGTAGCTAGCTTGTCATTCAAGTGACAGCCTGTCACTCCAGCGATAGGCAAGAGATGGAATTAGGCAGAAATCAAGGCCAGTTTTTCCTCTATTTTCCTTCCAACTTTGGACCATAATTTCTCATTCATACGAAATGGTTCCCTAATACACCATGATGATCTATTCACCGAATAGAACAAGTTAGCCTATTTACATTTGTAATTTATCTATCGGATTAAGCCTAAAAATTTGGCCGAAATTAACACAAAAGTAACTTTTTCAACATTTTTGTTTTTAACACTCAACTAGATTTTCTTCAATTTTTAAACTGATTCTCAACAATCCCTCACGTGAATGTAAAATTCGAATATACATATATAATGCAAAAATTTATGATGAATAGAGAGAGGAAAAACATTGTATAAGGTAAGGTCGCTTCCGACTTTGAACCTTAGTGAAATACTGTCGAACTTACTTAACTAATTGGTGAATGTAATGTCTTGAACCATTCATCCGTTAGTGTAAGCCAAGACAACAATACTCACACAATTGTCTTCCTTAATTCGTTCATAATTCTCATGACTTTGTTCATTTTGGCCATTAACCGTTCTTGGGTTTTATAAATGTTCAAAGAATTTTAGCCTCAAAAATCCTCATTGAAGCAGCTACACTTCACACTTACATAGATGACCTTCTATTAAGAGTATTCTGGCCGACCCCTTGACTTAATCAAGATATGGGAATCATTAAAGAAGTATCTTAACCTCTAATCATCTTGTAGAAAGCACCTCAATATCATAGGAATGAGTTAGGAAATAATTTCCTAAGTGCTTCATTGAATTCTCATAACTTAATTATCCCTTTGAACTAAGATCTTAGGATCTCCAGTTAACAATATAAGGTTATCATTACAAAGACTCTTACATAGTAGACTTTAATCACATTCCTTTCGATAGGCAAATCTTTCATAAGTAGATCCATTATATTCTCCTTTGATTTCACATAATCTATTGAGATGATGTCATTAGAGATTAATTGCTTAATAGTATTGTGTCTAAGACGTATATGTCTAGACTTACCATTTTACATGTTGCTTCGAGCCCTTCCAATAGCCAATTGACTATCACAAGGTATACTTATTGTAGGTTTTGACTTAAGCCAACATGGAATATCTTCTAAGAAGTTACAAAGCAATTTTGATTCTTCTCCATCTTTGTCCAAAGCAATTAACTCAGATTTCATCATTGATCGAGCTACACACGTTTGCTTTGTCGATTTTCATGACACAGCAGCTCCACCAATGGTAAATACATAACCACTAGTAGACTTAGATTCTTTCGTGTTGGATATCCAATTGCATCACAATATCTTTCCAATATCGCGAGATAATTTGAAAAGAGTAAATCCATAGGTTAAGGTATCATTCAAGTACCTAAGAACCATTGTTAAAGCTTTCTAATGATCATGGCTTTGATTAATAGTGAATCTACTAACTTTATTCACAATGAAAGCTATGTCCGATCGAGTGCATTTCGTAATATACATTAGACTGCCTATCACTTATGAATACTTTAGTTGTGACACACATTCACCCATATTTTTGACAAAGTGTAAATTTGTTTCAATAGGGTTTTTTGTTGGACTTTCATCAAACATGTTATACCTTTTAAGTATACTTCAATGTAGTGAGATTGGAAAAATATAATTCCTTCTAATATTCTAGAGATCTTAATCCCTAAAATCACATCAGCCACACCCATGTCCTCTATCAAAATGTTTTGTTTACATTTTCTTGGTGTTTAACATTATTTTGTGATGTGTTTAGCATTATTTTGTAACTATTGCCCTTTATTAACATGTTGTCTACATATAGACATACAATCACATAGGCATCTGGTGTATGTTTAGGTATACACACTTGTCACACTCGTTTATCTTAAATCCCTTTGACCACATTGTTTTGTCAAAACTTTTGGTACCATTGTTTAGGAGTTTGTTTCAATCCATATAAGAACTTAGCGAGTTTGTGATTAGGAGAGACAAACTCTTCGAGTTGTTTTATGTATATCTTCTCTTCTAACTCACCATTTAGGAATGTCGTTCTTATGTCAATTTGATGAATCCCAAGGTTGTGTATTGCCGAAATTGTAATTAATAACCTTATCGAAGTGATTCTAGTTACGGATGAGTAAGTATCAAAGAAGTCAAGCCATTCTTTTTGTCTATATCTTTTGGCAATCAATCTAGCCTTATGTTTGCCAATGGATTCATCCGGTTTAAGTTTCTTCTTGAAAATTCATTTATGCCCTAAAGGCTTGTTTCCAATAGGTAAATCAACTAATTTCCAAATATGGGATTGCATTATAGAGTCTATCTCGCTATTGATTGCTTGTTTCCAGTGTAGTGCTTTCGATTTAGATGTTACTTCATCGAAAGTTTTTGGGTCATTTTCTACCATATATGTTAGAAAATATGGGCCAAACATCATAGATATCCTAGTTTGGTTCTTCCTCAATTGAAGCTCCATTTCTAGTTTCATAAGTTCTTTTATTTAAACTTTTATTTTCCTTTTCTTTACATGGAAAGACATTCTCGAAGAATGGTGTATTTCTTAACTTAGTTATGGTTCTCTCATGTACATTTTAAATTTCATATTTATGTAATAGGAAATGATATGCACTAATATTATAGGCATATCTAATATATATGCAATCAATCGTTTTGGAACCAATCTTAACTTGTTTAAACTTAGGGATTTCAACCTTAGTGAAACACACCCATACTTTTAAGTGTTGGTGGGAATGAGGATGACCTTTTCATAACTCATATGGGATTTCTCCCATTTTCTTGAGGGATGTATTGTTGAGAATACTATTTTCCATTAAATTAGCTTTCTCCTACAAGTTCTGAAATAAACCCGAACTTAACAACATTGCATTCATCATTTTCTTAAGGGTTCGATTTTTACGTTTAGCAACACCATTCGATTGAGGAGAGTAAGATGTCTTTGTTTGATGAATAATTGCATGTTCAGAACAAAAATCTTCAAACGGTGCCCCGTATTCACCTCCTCTATCATTATAAATATTCTATATTTGTTTACCATGTTGAGTTTCAAATTTAGCCTTATAACATTTGAATACATCTAAAGCCTCGTCTTTACTTCGTAGTAGAAAGATGTAACAATACTTTGTACAATCATCCAAGAAAATTATAAGGTACTTTTTTACTACATTTAGTTTGAACGAATTTCAAATCACATATATCGCTATGTATTAATTCTAAAGGTATTGTGTTCCCTTGATCGAGTAAAATGATGTTTTAGCCAACTTTGCTTCAACACATACTTTACATTTATGATTAGGATCGATCTTAAGCGCCGGAATTAAACTTTAATTCATAAGTTTACACAAAGATTGTAATTTACATGTCCCAATCGACTATGACACAAACAAGACAACTCAAGCATAAACACAAAATTTAAATCTTTACTCATAATGTTTACCTCAATACCATTGTAAGAACGTTCATTTTGAACATTCCATCACACAAATATTCTTTTCCTACATACATCTCATTCTCAATGAGTACAAATTTATCGAATGCTAATACAAATTTGAAGCTATTTTTGCTAAGTAGAGACCCGGATACTAGATTCTTGTTAATCTCCAGCAAATTTAGGACATTATTGTGGATGAGTTATTGATTGAAATTCATCTGCAATGTAACTTTTCATTGTCCTTCAACTTTGGAATTTGCAGAGTTTCCCATACAACTCCATTCAACTCTTTGTAGTTAAAGAACAAAGCCTTGTCTACACACACGTGATGGGTAGCACTAGTATCAACCCACCATTACCATGAATTTCCAACATTGTTACATTCAGAAACAACTATAGGCAGATTCATTTCTTGTATCCCATTAGACAGTGTGTCTCTTTCAACCATGTTTGCTTGTGCGTTTCTCTCTAGCTTTTGACATTTAGTTGAATGATGTCCGACCTTTCCATAACAATTGCTTTGAAAATTTTTGGCTTTCTTGAAGTTGTCTCTTCTCGGTGCATCACCGGATATTTTGCGTTTCTTGTTGACAACTTTCAAACTGGTTTCAGCAAAGTATGCTCAAAGTTGGGCAATAGATCTTCTCTCAATTTTCCTATTGTCTTTTTCGATCCTCAAGCGAACTATCAATTCCTCCAAATTCATTTTCTTAGGTTTGTGCTTGAGATAGTTTTTTAAATCTATTCACATGGGAAGAAGTTTCTCAATGATGACAGTAACTTGGAAAGATTTGCTCAATTCCATCTTTTGCGCATATATGTCATATAGTAGAACTTGAAGTTCTTGCACTTAACTTATCACTGCTTTGGAGTCTACAATCTTGTGGTCAAAAACTTGCCGACTATGAGCTTCTTTGTTCTTGCATCCTCGATCTTGTACTTTTTCTTTAATGAGTTCATATATGCTTAGTTGAGTCGTTCAAACTATACACTCCATATACTTTTTGCATAAGAAGTCCGAGTGTTTCCATGAATCCAAATAAATAATCAATTCACGATTATTTTCTTTTTCTTACACCAGTGTTGTAGTCTCTTTTAGAAACTTTGCCAAATTTAGAGTGGTAAGATAGAATAACGTCTTTTATTGCTATATCTTGAAGTCCATGCCTCCAAACCTTTCTAGTTTTTCCCCATGTGGGATTGTAATATTTTGAAGTGGCATAGCCAAAGGCGGAACCACATTATTCGTACTATTGGTTGTCTAACTCATAGTAATCTCAATGGTATTCAGTTCTGTTACACAAACAGAAGTTCAACACAGACACAAATAAAATGGAATAACATGCAAAGCCTATTCCAAAAATGAAGATAACGGGTTTGTATCCACAATACAACAACAGACAAAATTTTGTCTTAAGATTGTCGTGCTAGAATATATATGGTGAAAGGGTTGTTTAGCAATGAACAAATGAAGATAAAGTTAAAAAGTTTAAATCGCGGAAGCATAATTAAACTTTATGGAAGTAAAAAACAAAAAGAAGAAAGTAAGTAAAATGAATGTGGAAAATGATCTGAAGCAAGTAATGACACTTTCTCCTTAAGACAAACTTGCCCTACAACGGCGTTAAAGGTTCATAGCACTTGTCTCTCAAAATACAACGGATTTAACTTGTGATAGAAGTACTTTAAATCACAAACAACAGCAAACTCGTACGGAATTTATCCTTTCTACAAGGAAAAATATATAGAATGATTTTTAGAGAGTTTTTATAAGAGAATTATGCAATGCTCAATGCAAAAGTGATATGGGATGTATTATGAGCACCCAAATAGTTCTATTTATGGAGAATAAAGGGTTGTGGGTGAAGTGATACATATCAAACCTCGTAACTTTACTAAGGAAAGCATCACTTGCTGTCGCTAACCTGTCACTGGCCTCTCGCTCAAGCGCCAGTGTCAAAATTTTAACATAAAATATTCACTTATTTGTCGCTAGATCGTCGCTCGAACAATAGGCGAACGACAGAATTAGGCAGGAATCTAGGCCAATTTTTCCTCTATTTTCCTTCCGACTTTGAACCACAATTTTTCATTCATTCAAAATTGGTTTTGAGATTCCAAATATACCATGATGGTCATTTTTCCTTCCAAAAATTTGTTGTACCCATATTTTGCACAATTTTGCATCAAAATGATTAATGTCATTTTTGCCCTTCTTTTCTATTTTGTATCAAATTTTTGTTAAGGGTATTTGTATCTCTTTTGTTATACACAAATTTTAATTATTAATTTTTTTTATGATAATGTAATCAATAATAATTAAGGAATGAATTCAATATTTTCGTTGACTAAACGTAATTATTTATTTAGTAATTTATGTCGTAATAAAATAAATAAATAAATAATTTTCGAAATAAATAAATTGTAAAGAATAAAAAAATGAAGAAAATGGTGAAACATTATGTATTTGGTGCAACTTTTGATGTATTGGGTTGCAGATGATTTTCTATTTAGTGCAAAACAATTCAAAACTTACCTTAAGTTTTGATGCAGGATTGGAGATGGCCTTAGGGTGTCTATTAAACCATTTTTTGGCTACCAAAATTAGCGAATAATGATTTGAATTATTTATGTTGGTTAAAGTCGCAATCTAATGAAACCATTTTTTTCCCATCGCCGCCGCTGCTTTGTATATTCCCGGTTCCAGTTTGGATTTCAATTTTGGGTTACTTGAGATTGATTTGATTTTCATTGTTGTCTAATTGGTAGTGCTTTACGAGTTTCAATTTTAATAGAAATGAGCTACTTTGGAGTTGGAAATCTGTAATTTCAGTTGGTTGTGCTCGTGGGGAAGAAAGGGTGGGTGGGAAGCTAAAGGGAATTCTTTTATTTTTATTTTTATTTTTAATTAATAATTTTTTTAAGACTCATTTGTACTTTTTTTTTTAAAAAAATTGAAATTATTGTTGCAATAAATTTTTTATTTATTTTTCTTTTTTTTATTTAAATAAAAATGTATATTCATCATTTAACATCTTTTTATTGAGAAAATGAAAGAAAAATGGGTATTGGACTCTCCAAAATTAAATAGGGAATTTTTCGCCAGTTCCAAAAGGTAAGGGTATTGCACAAGGGTCTAAAAGGTAGGGGATATTGCAACAATAAATCGAAAAGAAAACAAATACATTTTTCTATTTGAACTTATTTTCTCATGTGATTTTAATCATTCATCTTCTAATATTTACAATTAAGTCCTCTTCATTTTAAAATAATTATAGCTGACTCGAAGCCAAGTTCTAAAATTTTGTAATTTAGTCATCAAACTTTTCAAATGTTGAATTTAACTCTCTAAATTTTTACGGAATGATCCTTTGGTACTTCTAATTGATCTCTTACAACTAAGTTGCAAATAGTTTTTTTTTTTTTTTTTTTTTAAAGTTGTATCCATGTTGAAACTTTCCTATGATTAGCATAATTTACACAAATTTAAGTAGATATTTGCTCGATTTACATATAAATAAATAAGAATAAAAATCCAAATAGACGTATAAAATACACTTATCAGTGGTCTTTCGTAACAAATTGAATATTTGTTTGATAATCATAATTTTCGAACTTTTTTTCTACATACTCATTTTTAATCACACACTCACATAATAAAATATTGTGCATGTAAACTCATAAAAAAATTTCTTACTTTTTAACCACACGTTCTTCTAAAAATCAATATTCAAAACTCTTTTTTCCCCCAAAAGTATGGTTTTCAAACAAGGGTTTAATTACCTAAAATTTGATGATTGACTTTAACATGAATTATTATTTGGAACCGTGAAATTAATTGATTCACGTAAAAATGAGATGCTCATTCAGGAATTTTTCATCTTCAATTTTTAGCCTCCGTTTGTTTCTTATTTTTTTTCATTAAAATGAAAAATATGACTGTTATCCATCAAATCAAGTCACCAAATTTGAATTTCTATCTTCTGTGTGGAA